TATTTAATATTTTAATCTTGCTTCGTACCTTGATAATTATAAGCGATGAAATAGCCTGAGCAAAGCGCTACATTTTATCTTGTGGTTTGCCTGCGATACTTGCAAATTTTCTGCATTTCTCTATGAGGGCAGTAATAACAGGCATCTGCTACATCAAACCACAGAAAAAGTGGCAGCAACCTCATGAATGACTGAATAGGACAATAGCTTTCCGGAAGTTCTCTGGCATTATGATATGGTTGCTCGCAGGTCGCTGCTATTTCTATTTGAGACGAGAAGGAATCCGTCTTGCAGAAGAATATCAAAAAGAGCAAGTTGAATATGATGCAGATGGCCGGAGGACACCGCCTGAAGTTTAACCCTCCTCACAACGGAACGATTGTGGGAAGAAGATAACCGTTGAATCTGGTACGTGTGAGCAGGTTATCTTTAAAGTATCAAAGGTGCATTCAGAATGGATTTGACATTTGGCCACATACGCATGAAACATTTTTGGAACTATAATGATAGATTTCACGATTACAGGATTTCTGGAACCGAGAGGAACGAGAGCGGATATCTTTTGTCTCGTGCGATGTCATCTGTCTCTCGTACAAAGGTACAAGGCTGCAGTCTACCGTTTGTAGACGGCTATGAGCTTTGTGTATATGCCATTGTTTACAGCGTTGCATTAATAAGTAATTGTTATTTCTTTCTTCCGTTGTGCTGCCATCTCCCAGTAGTAACTAATTTTTGGCCCGTTAAAAATTCTTCCTTCTACCGAGCAAAACCCCTTGATGAGTTCTGCTACGATTATAGTTTGCATAATCCGGCCAAGTCAAAAGTCAGTTTGGCACATTTATCTGGAAGTGATTTATTCAGACTTGGAAAATCATTCTTGTGCGATAACAGCGCCATCAATAACATTAATATCATGGTTGTCAGACATTGTTTGGAAATCGATCACATTCGCAGTAGCATAAATTTTTACAAGAAACTAGCCGTATGGACCTGACGAGCCCATCGTCCGTAAAGACAAAAAGTGGCTGATAGGAAGATTTGGCTGGAACATGGTCCATCCTAAACGATATACTGCTGATTCTCGTTCAAGGAGCTCTTCTTCCCTTGGCCTCACGTTTACCTCACGGGTAAAGTATTTCAGATTTAAGAAATGATCATCACTACTGTACTTATCACAAAGCTCATTATAAGCTCATTATTATATTCGTAATCATGCTCCTTATCACTACGAAAGTGATATGTACGCCATCATTACATACCTGAGTGTAGACCAACGGCACACTGACCCAGTCGTAGTTGAGAAGAGTTCGCATGTAGTCGTAGAACTTCATCAGTTCGATCAGAATTTGAGCCATGTTCATGTCGGCCGAAATCTTGCCGGCCATTCGGCAGTGATGGATCAAGGAGTAGGCCCACTGCCAAGGTATCCAGAACTTGTTGGTAATCGCCGGCTCATTTCGTAAATAGTCCAGTTCGCTCTCCAGCAGATAGCCAGCATCAATGATGTCTTTGTACTTCTTATATTTGCGGGAAATCGGAGGACTGATATCTCGGAGCACTAGGATTTGCATCAAGCCGACGTAGCGTACAAATGTACGCTTGATCAACTTCGTCTTCTCATCGTTTCCATCGATGAACGTTGCTGCGGCGAGGGCTACTCTAAAGCAGCGATCGGTCGTGTACAAAAGTACTACGTACTGGTATAGTAATCGGTTTGATCGCCTACCCTTCTTAAGATCACAATAATAGCGAATGAATCGCAATAGGGCAAAAAATGGTTTAATCTGGTCTCATTCAGAACATCAAATAAGGGCGATGACTGTAATGGCTGTGTCAGAAACCTTAGCCATAGTACCATCGTCATCACCAAATACGGACTGGCGGCGGCTATCATCGATTGATATCTGCTGGATCATAAAGGACGCCTAAATCACCCCCCCCCTCCCCCGTCCTGACGAGGCTCGATCAATTTCGCCTCCGTACTGCAAGGGAAACTTTGACAACGGCCAAAATGAGTCATGACCGGAGGAGGTGTTGCTACCGGCGCATTGTACTTGCCTGCTGAGCACGAATCGATAAAACATAATCAGGTGCCCTAGGCATTATGCATATCTCTAAGTCGAAGGTCACAAGATAACATTTCATAATCCAGCACTTTGGTACTTAAATATGAATGACAACGTGGATGCATAATGACGTCAAAAAGTCTGAAACTGGCACCTTTGAATGCTTCGCGGAAATCCTCTCTAAACATCGGCTTCTCTCTTCTATCAGGTTGTGAAATCA